GGATAGTGTTTATTGACCCAGTCTGGAAGGGTGTGTATTGTTGGGGAGCATGGGCATGGCATATGCACCAGGTCTGTCCCAGTGAGAGAGAATAAGTCCTGCACGTGGGCAAAGTGCAGGGAAAGGTGTGAATCCAGGAAAGCTGCACAGAGCCAAATCACCAGGGAAATACCTGCCCCAGTCTTAGTCTCCAGAACCAGCCAAATGCTTGGATCTTAAAGGCACTTAAATCCATCTGAAATCAGATGTCTGGGTATTCTTGACCCAAGGCCAAGCTCCTTCCCAAAGGGAAAAATCTGCCAAAGCAGCTCATTCCTGACCCACAGCATTGCAGCCATTCCTGCCCTGGGCTGAGGGCAGAGCAGCAGCTGTGCTCCCCACCAGAGTGGGTGACACAACACAAACCCCTGTGTCACACAGGTCTGGGGATGCTGCCACCCAACTTCCCTGAGGAATGGCTGCAGCCTGCACCCAGGGTCCAGCAGTGGCTCATGAGAATGAGGTGGGTTTAGTAGTTTTGAATGGCACTTGAAAAGCCACCATCAGCACTATTAACAGTAAATGGTGCTTTTTACCAACTATTTCTGTCTGGGGGATAACTGAGCCTCTGTCCCTGACCAGGAGAGTCCCCTCTGCATCCAGGTGGGAGCAGTAACCAGGAATATGATGCTAACTCTCCAGAGGGCAGTCATCACAGCAAAAAACCCCCTCTGGCCCCTCAGGAAAACTCCTCGGGCACTGTGAGCCCACCAGCACAGAGAGGGAGAGATGAACAGAGCAGCCCTGAGTGGGGAGCTGTGAGCAGGACCGAGGACACGGCCTTCTTAGGCCTCCCCATCCTTCCCTTTGGGCACAAGCTCCTTCCAGCAGCACAGTTGTCAAGTCAGCAGTTGGGGCAGATGGACTTTCCATTTTAAGCTCCCTGTTTTTTTCCAAAGCCACAATCTGGAATCTGCCCACAGGCAGCGTATTTCTTCCATGAAAAAAAAAACCCCAACAAACCAATAAAAACCAAAATCCACGACAAAAAATATGTGACCGAGGGAGCAGGAATCTCTCTGCCCTTCAGTCAACCCCACAGGAGATGCTAAGTATTTTATCTGCTTTTTTAGCCTTAATGGTTGCTGTAGCAATGACTTGCTAAATGCTCCTCAGCAGAGCAGAGGTCCTGGCATGGCAGGGAGCTCCAGTTTCCCAGTGATGGAGAAAAATCTGAAAGGGGGTGCTCCACTTAATCCCAATTATGAGTCTTGAACACAGATCCAAGTTCTTGAGCCATTCCTGATCCTAAAAACCATCCAACAATATAAACCAAAATTCTGTAGTGACTTCTGGTACTGAGGAAAAGGGAAGTCAGCCCTCCCCTTTCACTGCCTTCCCACTGGGGAAGTCCTGAGTCCTGGAAAGAGTACTTTGAAAGTGCTGAGGGAACTAATGCACACAGAGATGTTACTGGAGAGCGAGGCTTTGAACAGCGAAACACAGGCTATGGATCCACATCTGAGGTCCAGGGAAAAGGGGACACACAGTCCAGGTATCCAGAGGCCAAAACAAATTCTCTGACTGGTAAGGACTGAAATCCCCCTGGCAGCTTCTCAAGGCCCTCAGAAAGCCATTTTTCACTGGACATTCCTAGTCAGTGTCCCTGGTAAGGACAACTCCTCCCTGTGGAGGTGCTGCTGGCTCTGCAGGAGGATGTTCTGCACAGCTGTGGAACGTGCAGGGTGTCACAGCCCAGGGCCAGGCCAGGGCAGGTCCTCTAAGGAGAGAAGAGGAAAACAGCAGAACAGCCCCTCTGACAGGAATAATCCATAAACTGAGTTTCAGGTGAGGTCACGTTGTCTGACTCACGTGAAGGGAGCGAAGGGAGTGAGGCAGGAGGGAAAGGGGTGAATGACTGCATCCTGCAGCTCAGCTGTAACTCCTTCTCCCTCACTGCACACAGGACTTGCTCCTTGCCAAGCAGAGCAGGAACTGCTCCCACTGTCTGCACCCTGCTGCCAACAGAAGCCTGGACAGCAGAGGAAAGGGGGGCAGAAATGTCACTCATCCCTGTGCAGATCACCTTTCACTCTGTGTTAGATGCTGTCATCACTGTATCACCCTTCACTCCTGGGGTCAGCACTGGGTATTTGTCCCTCATGATCCCTCTCTCCCCAGTTGTAACACAACAGCCCTTTGGGTCACACTGCAGCATGAAAGCTGGAAAAACCTGGAGGGTGCTGGGAACATCCATCCCGAGTGCCCTGCCCCTGGCAGCCACCACGGGGTCTGCAATATTGGGAATAATGTCCTCTCTTTCAGCCAAGGCTGCTCCGCTACTGAAAAGTGGGTTCAGGTCCCCAGAACCCGCCTTTCCAGTCGCATCGGCAGGATGGAGCTGAGTCAGGACAAGGTATTCCTACTGGCTGCAGGAAGGGCCGACAGGTAGCCAGGTTTCATGCCTACACCCAGGATATTTGATCTACCTCTCACAGCAAACAGCAGGAATTTAATACATCTTCTGGAGACATGAGGATATCTAATCCGTGGGACCAGGGGAGAGGTGAAGGGCAGCAATGTGAGATGGGTTCTAGCAAGACCAAGGGCTCTCTTCTCATGACACTCATATCTCAGTGCAAGCAAATTGCTATTCCATCTGCTAATGAATTTAAGCAGCAGCTGTTGCTTAAGTTGAAGCAGCAGCACAAATTCTTGCACCCCAGAAATCATTCAAGGTTTTACACTTGCATCCCTCGGGCAGGAGGACTCTTGGAGGGGAGCTTCCCCCAAGGAATTTCCCAAGCGAACTGCAAGAGTGACAAGGACAGGCTCCGGAGCCCTGTGCACACTGTCCAGAATGGCTGGAAATGGGAGAAGAGTTTGCATATTCACAGTTTTACACAGTGGAGTAAAGTGGAATTCAACACCCTCTGCAGGATAGAACACGCAAGTTTGGGACAGAAAAGCCCAGACTTCCCCCAGTTTTAACTGTATTCTCCCAGTGCCATCCTCACTGGCATTTGTGCAATGCTCCTGCTCTACCCTCACCTTCCCCCCTCTGCTTCACTCAGCACACCCTTCACCTGTTTCCCCCTTCCCATCCCTCTCCTGTTGATTCTGTCCCGCTCCCTTTCCCAAATCCAGACTGAGGTTGCCTTCCCTGCTAGGTCTGCATCCCATCCCGCCCCTCTTCTCACCTGCCTCGCTTTGCCTGCTCTCCCAGGCTGGTGGCTCTGCCGGGAAGGGGCAGGATGTGGGAATTTACAGCTCTCCCTCCTGCACAGCCGCTGTCCGTGCCGCCCTCCCGCCCAGGGCATCGGGCACGGATCTGCACCGCCCCGCAGGGACACAGCTCTGGGCATGGAGAACTTGCAGCCTGAGCAGGAGCAAGGTGGGACACAGCAGGGCTGGAGCAGAGCACAGGGTGCAGGGCCAGGGTGGAGGCACCACACGTTTGCCGTGTGCATCCCGCAGGCTCCAAAGCTACGGAAAGAAGAACAATCGCGTGAGATGAAAATAAAGAGACTTTTCGCAAAACACGCCCTTGAGTACAGATTTTACGCTCAGTAAGTTCACCGTGAAAGGGTTTCCCACTCATTAAATACCAGATTTCATACACATATCGAGAATAAATGTAAATTGCTTAGAATCCAGTGTTTTATGTGAACCGGTAAATAACATCCCTCTGCATGTCCGTGCCTCCAACTCTGCAGCTTTGGGCTGCTGGGTGAGAACCTGTAATCTGGGAATGGACTGAACAGGAAAACTGGGCTGATCACATTCACTGGGCTGGCATGAGAGGAATAAACATGTTAATTAATACAAGGGAACTCTCTTTTCACCACTTATACAAAAAAAAACCCCCACGGCTAAAAGAAGCAGAGAGCAATTCTCCGTGTCTCCACAGCTTGTCGCTCTCTCACTCCACAATGCCAGATACTTCCCAGCTTCAGGAAGCACTGAGGTCACAGGCACAGGGAGGCAGAACTCAGGATGCTGCCCTATTACCTGTGCTGGACAGCCCAGCACATCACACAACCCATAGCAACAGGAGGCAGGAATTAATCCCGCTGCCCCACTTGGTCCCAGACCCCTTGGATTGCTCAGGCAGCTCCAAGTGGGAGTTGCTCCATCCCAGACATTACATTACACTGTCAGAGTTCCTTCCCCTCCACCCTCTGCACTTAAACACAAGCACAAACTGAGTGCAGGAAGAGCAGAATTTTAAATCAGCGTAAGTTTACCGAGTCCAAACTGTTTAAAGTTAAAGTTTATTTGTATTCTTTGTAGGAATATCAATAAAAGTCCTCAAATGTATCTATATCTGTACATATTACAAGAACCTTCAAAAATTATTCACAGAACAAAAATAAATCTTCTTTAGAACAAACCCAGGCAATGAAATGCAGAAATGGATCTCAGAGACCAAACAGTCCAGTGCTACGAGCATAAAAATACGCCTTGAAAAACAAGTTTATTCCTTTTTAAGGTGTACTTTGTTGAAATAAAAAATAAATTATTTAGAGCTATCACTGTAAAACAGTTCTGCGTAGTAACACTCTTATTAAGGCCCTTGAGACAGAAAGTCTATTTTTACAGGTAGGATTCCTGGCAGGCATGGTCTGTAAGGACATGCTCACTCTCCTGGGAGTTAACTTACTGTGGAGAAGCAAACACCTAAAAACATTGGCCTAAATTTAACCCTTTTTCCTCTGGCAGACTCAGCTGGATACCTGTGGCTGACCAAGCCAATCACTGATGGAAATACATTTTGTGGTCCAACCCAGACAGGAATTGTTTTCCAGGAACAACACAGACATTTGTGCAGAACACAAGCAGAATTCACACATACAGGGAAGTATTGCTGACACATCCCACGGGCATGGCTGGACAACTGATGGACTTCAAGTCAAAAGCTGGTGGGCTTAAGCAAGCATTAAAACATGAGATTAATATATCATGAGAAATAAAAACAAGCTAAGCCAACCCAAGGCAAATGCATGTACATAAAATAAACCTCATTTCTCAGAGGATTTATTAGATGGATAAAGAATTTGTTAGTGAATACACCTCATACTCTCTAACTAGAAAGTACACACATCCCTTTCCAGGCTCCTGTAGATCCCCTGCCTGAGTTATGCCACTGGAGAGGAACGTGGCAAAATGTGTAGCTGCATGAATCTGTGCTTTTATGCATAGCTGCCCATTTCTGACACAGCAGGGAAAAAACAGCTTGTAATTCCTGGATGTGAAATCTATTTCCCTTAAAAAAAAAAGGTCTGAATTCCTAGAGTTGCAAAGAACAGGGATTTACAGGATGCTGCCCCTAGGCTGTGCTCCCTCTGTCCTCTTAGTGCCTATCCCATGTCACTCTGGCCACCTCTCACACACTGCAGACACCACACACAGTGTGCCACGAGGCCACACACAAGAGGCTGCTCGGCTTCCCTGAGCACTCAGAAGCCTGGGTGGCTTTGAGGTTTGGGAAGAATCCTCCTGGAAAGGTACTAACATGGCCAGCACTGACCGAGACGCCAGGATGGGGCGACTTTCCTGTTCAGTCTGAGGAATACACGAGTATTCCTTCCTCCTACAGGCTATTCCATTTTTCCTACCCTCCTTCATCTGTTTCCTTGCACAGGATTAGACACAGCCCAGTGCCTTTGCTCAGAGTACAAACCCAAACCCAGTGTCTGTCACGCTCCCCATCACACACATCACACTATTCCCTCCCTCGCTGCTGCAGAACCCACTGGCTACGAGTCTAAACCCAAACGTGCTCAGGCCCAGGCAGGGCTCCTGCTCCCGAGCAGACACGTGGTTTAGTGCCACTTGAATTTTTATCAGTCTGGATGAAACAGGAACTGGCATTTTCACATATTGTCAGCTTGAGGCGGCTGAAAATTTCTCTGGAAAGCTGCTCGGTAACAAACCAGGAGAGACAGCTGCCAGGAGCAGAGTGTTTTGTGCTGCAGCTGATCAATTCTAGTCTTGCAGCACTGAGTCTGCAACCCTCACCCCCTCCGGGGTCAGCAGGCAGCATCTCCTCGGCGGCAGGACTCGGAGGAGAACACTTTGCACCTCAGGGGAGAAACTGGAATAGGAGAGAAACAACCAGCCCAGCAACGAGCTGTGAGGACCACACTGATGGGTCAGACTCTAAAAGAGTCGCTACTTTTTCCTACAAGCTTGAGAAACACACAGAAGGTACATCGTTAGAGTGATGCACGACTGAAACAGGTGATCAGACCTCACCAAAACAAATGGATCTTGGGGCAGGGATCATTTCCCCTCTAAAAATCCAGGCTGAAATGCTGCCCCTATTGCATTTTGCTGCAGAAACCAAAGTGGACACCTCAGACAGAGCCTTCAGCATCAAACCACACAACTGAGCCAGCCCCTCTGCCAGTACCAGGGCGCTGGGGAGCACAAGTGAAAGGCATTTCCCCAATTAATGCCAGACTCACACTCCCAGAACAACACATCTGCTTCTGCCTCATTCTATCAGTGCAGATCAGCTGTTTTCACGCCTCGGTCACAGCACACCCCACTATCTGCACTCTGCAACAAGTCAGCAACGCACATGCCCATCCCAAAAGGCTACTTCTGGGAACACGTTTCCCGTGCTGCAGCTGTGCAATTCCAGCACATAGCTGTGGGGAGATGCAGCTCCCACAGAAATACTCCACAAACAGGGGGTTGCAAAGGTTTTGTGTCAAAGAGCCGCTCACACGACAGGTTAATACAGACTCGAGAGGCTTCTACGGCTGTGAGACATGAAGGAAGGAAGGAGGAACTTAAAGGCACAGTTTGAGGAAGAAAATATCAGAGGTCAGCAAGGACCTAGAGCTGGAAGACAGTTTGGAAAGTATGGAAAAGTAATCACTGCTGAGCAAATGCAGAGCACAACCCCCGGTGTGTCTGTGCTGACCCCAAACAAGCCAGGGCCGCTCCTCGGCCTTCAGCACCAAGTCACAGCCCAGCAGCCAGAACAGCTTTGATCTCAAAGAACCCAGCACTGAACACCAGCCCCAACTGGCTGCAGACTAGTGAGCTCTAGAAGGCCTTGCCAGGATTGATCCACACCCATCCTACAGTGCAGGACACACTGATGCAGACTCACGGAACACGCTGGGGTGACAATGGTAACTCAAGTACTGTGACACAAGCATCAGGCACAGCAGTTACACACTGCACCCACCAGCTGCATTAACCACAGAGATTCATCCATTTCCAAAAAAACCCCAAGCAAACCTGACAACCAAATCTGGGTCTTAGTATTGTGCCAATAATTCATGTGCAAGAAACTGGCTTAGGAACTCCTGCATTTTTCATGACACACCCCACACCCAGGCACCTCTCGAGCTTTTGTCTCCAACTCAAGTAAACTTTCCCAATTTCCACAACACGCGTGAATGGTTAATCACACCCGTTATCAGTACATTTCTGTAATTCAAAATTTCAATTGCTGCTCCAATAAGTTTATTTACTGTGAGTTTGGGGGCCAGAAATGCACAGCAAAAACTGGAAGTGAAGATTCACGTGCTATTACATGACTCCAGAGACTGGGGCTTTAAAAAAAAAAAACCCTCTCAGATTAACTATTGTGGCATTTGATGAAATCATGAGAATTGACAATACAAAGTCATTTCCTGCTCACCTGCTGCAGGTTGTGAATGTCACTATTTCCCAGGAGAAGGTCACTTTGGAATGATATCCCATTCACACACAGCCTGTAAGCATGCTCCTATGAAATGCAACTGGAAGGAATTGGAGACAAAAGCTTAGTCAAAACTCCTCAAGGAAAACTGGTATCTACAGAACTCAAAAAAAAAAAAAATCATTCCTTTAAAGTATCCAGAGAAAGAAAATTTCAGTGGAAACGGAAGATCACACCTTTAATTGGAACTAGACTGGTTAAGCAAGTGGCTGAAACACTGAAAATGAGCGAGCGTTAAAATACAGAAATCCTCTAGAAAAAGGGAATTTTGCATATGGAATCTCCTGTGCTGGGCACGGGCACCCTTTGATTAGCCCTTTCCGAGAGCATTAACCTGGTTGTTCCGGATGGAGTGCAGAGAGGGAATTCAGGGTGCTGCTGCACAGTGTGTACAGTGGGGACTGGCCAGAAATTGTTAAAAAAGTATTTACAGGTCTGTAAATTCTCCAAACAGAAAATATAAAACTGCATTAGTAAAAAAAAAAAAAAAAAAGAAAGAATCCTACCAGGAAATCCTGCAGATTCCCTCTGTCTGACGGGAAGCCTGACTGTGCAAATGCAAGGAAACCGGGTTGCTGCTCCCACTTTGTACCTTGTCAAAATCGTCAGAAAGACTCTTTTTTTTCTGGAGTCCTATTGAAAGCAGGTACAGGACACAGCAAGAGTCAGTTTTCTTGCTAAAATGTTTGCTACCAAGTTTGCGTTCGGTTAAAGACCAGCTGGGGAAGAGGGGGGATGAACCCAGCCAATGAGTTTTCCTATGGAATCCATTCCATTCCACTCATGTCCTCCTAACAGCCAGCTGCTGTCTCAGGTACTCCACTGCTCACCTCTTTCACCCACAACACACACACACACACACACTCCCCTCTTCCTCCTCCCAGGACTGCAGTGCTTTCAATAGGAGAAAAACATAATAAAAATAATAATAATAATAATAATAATAAAAATAGCAATAATTAAAAAAATCTACAGTATTCACCTCCTTTTGGTATTTTACATTGGCATTTTCTGTACACGACCCAAGAGCTCCCTCTATTTACACAGTGATCCGGAAGGACTTGTTCTCGGGAGCCTGCTTCTCCTGGCCCTGAGTGGGGAATCAAAGCCCACCCTTCAGACTCGGTTTTCCAATTTTATTAAACTGAAAAAAAATGTACAATACTTTATTAAATGTACAATACTATCTTAAAACGATTTTAAATACAATTTCTTTAAATACAATCTTAAAACGACTTTAGAATAATTTTAGAACAATTTTTTTTTTTTTTCCCCCAAACAGTACAGTTTTTAAACAATACAATTTCCAATGTACAGAACTATGTACAACAACGACAACGGGGAGGGGGGGGTGGGTGGTGGTGTCTCGAGTCTGCTCCGTCTCGGCTCTTCCGCGGAGCGGGTGGGCAGCACCGGGGGGCAGGTCAGAAGCTGCTGTTCTTGAATTCACCATTCTCCGTGATGGAAAGCTTGGGGGGGTTCCCATTCCGGACGTGCATGGTGTAGCGCTCCTTCACCTGCGTCAGGGCGCTCATCAGCCGCGTGTTGGCCGAGTCCAGGAACACGATCCGCTTCTCCTGCAACAGACACCCCACAGCGTCAGAGCTCCCCCACGCACCCGGCGGCCTCGGCGGGGAGCGGCCCCCGGGGGGTTCCGGGCGGAGGCAGCTGGGCCAACGTTCCCTGGTGAGATGGGCTGCCTGCCTCTTTCTGTTTTCCGGGGGTGCCACGGGCTCCGCTCCGGCCCTCCTGGACTTCTGGCGCGACAGCGAGTCCCGGTGACATCGGTGAATTGATCCAGCCGTGGGGGCTCCACCCAGCCAGCGGGATTTTGCCACAGGGGAGCCAGAGTGTGTGTGGGGGGGTGTGTGTTGGTGTTAATAACAACGATAGCCAATTTAAATATTGTTTTTAAAACTGTGTCAGAAAAACAGAAACAGGCAGCAGAAAACAAAAAGTGGTGGGGGTTTCGTCTGGCAGAGAAAACAAGTGGTATCTACCGGCCGTAGTCTCTGTATTTTGGATGGAGTGTGCTCAGAGTAAAACTCATGGGATGCTTGAAACAAATAAATAACAATTAAAAAAAAAAAGCGGATAACGGCAGCCTGCGGTGACGGTGCAACAGCAACACAGAGAAGCAGCAGCCAAAAGCTAACGCTCAGGGGTTATTGGAGGTGAGGGGGACAGGGCAGAGTGGGTGGGGGGAGATGCCATCGACAGAACACAAAGAACAAACACGGAACACGCTGCTCCTAGACCCATTCCAGCTCAGGGGGCTCCCAGGCTCCACGAATCCGTGTGCCCGGTTAGATTCTCCTTGCACAGAAGGTGCCAGCCTCCACCTTCAGCAGACAGCTCCAGGATGGGGGCTAAATTTATATAACCCATCACCAGCCCCAGGCTGCTGACAGTGGGGTATCTGCAGTGGGATACAGCACTGGAGGGACAAGCCAGAGAGTCGGTGGCACAATCAGAAATGACAATTTTCATCTTTCCTAAAAAAGTAGTAATAACAGTGCAGCCACAGAAAGCAGCACTAGAGTCAGCAGAGAGGTAACTGTGCTCTCCATGCTACCAACTGATTGGCTTTTGTTCTTTGAGAAGGGAGAATGCCTAATTTACTCGACTGAAATAAGCTGTGTGCAGGAACTCTTCCCAGTCCAGCCCATTGAGAAACAAAATGGAGGGGAAAAAACGATGCAGGGAAGGTACAAACATTAAGGAAGTTCAGACACAGTGCTCAGGAGACCCACGAGCTACCACAGGCCCTTGGGATTCAGATCCCAGCCCATCAGGGTGTGGTACAGCACTAATCAGCAATGTTTGCTTTTCTCAGCGGGCTCCCCCACAGGGTTAAGTGCTCAGGGGCAAAAACAAGGCAGAATTTAAGTCCTGCTTCTGTTAGGGCCCTGAAGAGACCAAGCTCTGTGTAAATAAACAGAAGGGGAAGCACAAGGCACAGAGGCCTGCCCTGGCCCTCATCCTGATCCAGCTGATGGGAGCAGGGAGAACACAGAGCAGGGGAGTTACAGGCCTTTCCTCTCCTGTGCTGAAATGAACCCTGCAGAACACAACTGCCTCAGCAGGAATGTGGTCCTCAGCAAGGCAAAGCTCCTACTCCTAAATTTCACCTGGAATACATAATTTAGAATGAAAATATCTCTGTCTGAAAATTTTTCCGAAACATTTCTGCAGAATTTCCCCCAAGGGTTCAGAATAAAAGGCTGGTTTGTTTTCTGGCACCGCTGAGCTCTCACTGAGCCGGTCTGCAAAACAGCTGGAAATCTGCACTTGGAAAATCCATCTGAAGAGGATGAGCTTGGTGAGTAGAGGCATCTTCTCACTGAAAGGAAAATTAGATCTACCAGGCACATCTCTAACGTGCTCGGATCGGGCACAGGGAGCGGGAGGAGCTGGAATGGGTAGGAGGTCAGTGTGCTGGGCCAGGACTGGGTACTGCTCAGCTAGAGAACTGAGTGGGTTTACTTGCCTGTTGGAATTATCTCATCCCCATTTATGACCTGTAATTTAACACAGCGGAGATGTCACTTGCAATAGCAGCTGGGCCAGTACTCTTTTGCAGCTCCGCTGCTCCCAGGAGAGGGTTTAGCCAGACCTATCCCCTGCTTGGTCAGAGACCCAGAGCCTGGAACCACCCGAGGTGCTGCTCAGGGTCAGGAGAACAGCTCGTGCCCTGTGCCAGTGCCACTAAGCACAAAATCCCGGGTCAGTGCTGCCCGTGGCAGCCTTTAACTCTTCAGCCAGGTGTGATGGGCTGGGTTACAACTCCACGAATGTCACGTAAAAAAACCCTTTCCTTTTCTAGCCAACTGAAGGAATCACAGACTAAATAAAATCTTCCAAGCACAACTTCAAGGGATTGCTACAGAACCCAGCAAACACCTGGGCTCCTCCGGCGAGTCTGTTCCGAATCTTTCACCAGTTTCCTCCTCTGCTCAGGTACCCAAGAAAGGGCAATGACAACTACACTTCCCCCATGGCCTGTCATGCCCATGACAGTGAAGCAGTTAAGGTTTGCTGGTGACCTTGCTTGTCCAAGAAAAAAAGAGTCAAATTAAAAGAGGAATCATTAATGCTGCTGGTTTGCTCCTGGTTTTTTTTTTTCCACAATTTCCACCTCAGGTGATAAATGCCCCATCATTTTATGAAGTGTGGTGGAAGATCACCCCCAGCCCTGAGGGTCTGAAGGTCTCACAAGTCAGCAGTGGCCCCTCTGACAGCTGGTGACACTGGGATCAGAGTGGTCCACGCTCCACCTTGCTAGTCCATAACCAACACTGAGGCTGGGAGCCTCCTGGCACGGACAGGTAACAACGGGAAGGGCAGGTTTCTTGCTCAGTCACAATCTATCAAGTCTTCCCCTCCAAAACTCACTTTTTATGTTTGCTCAGTGCCCCTTCTACCTTCTCGAGGCAGTTGAAAAATGTGTCACCCCCTTCGGAATCCAGGCTGCTGTCTGGATCAGCTGCCATTCCATGTGTGGAACAGTGAGATACCCTGACTGTGCCTACCTCCAAAAAAACTGCCCAGCACATTCACATATTTCAAAAACAAAAATCTTTATAAATATGTGTTACCAGGCTTTTAAAAACACAGCTTTTTGCTGCTTTATATTTTCCTCCAGTTCCATGTGAGTTCAAACATTTCTAATACCCCAGTGCCACCTTTAAACATGTTCAACAGCCTCAATAGAGGCTCCCCCTCCACCACTCTTTGTGTAGAGAAGCAACTTTCTGAAATTGGGTTATTCCTGAAAAAATTATTAAGGAAAGTTTCCAGCTGGAACTCCTGAAAAGCCCAGAAGCAGGAAAGAGACCCTCCAAATGCAAATACCACAAATGTAACACGCCAGGCAGATACAAACCAGTCCCAGGTCCTGTTGTGGGATCAGCACAGACACAGAGGAAAAGCTGGAATGACCCCATAGGATACACCCACATGCACTGCCTGCTGGATCCCCTCCCCACAGCTGCCCTGGGGTGACCAGGGCAGGCACTGCAGGTCTGTGGAAAATGGGCACTTCCCCAGGACTACCAGGGATGGCCAACTGGGGTGAAATGCCACACATGACATTCCCAGAGCAATGCTCTGTTGCAGCATTCTCTTTCCTTGACCCCACTGTCCAAAGCCATGCTTGGAGCTGGCACAGCTGAGATGCATGCACATGGCAGCTGAACTATGCTGGGGTGAGGCACAGCTTTCCCAGAGGTCCCAGGCCCACACTTGGAACAACATCTCCACAATGCACTGCTGTTCCTTTACTCCCTTGGAATCTCACAAAGTAGCAAAGGTTTTGGAGAAGTGATCAGTCCTGGGATTTGTTGCCAGGCTGCCTCAAAGCCCAGGTCAGGCAGGTCTGTATGAATTAAACACCCCAATTCTCTCCCAGAAGGCAGTAAGTGACACCATGGGCTGACCCGGCTTGGGAGATAGGGAACAATGCTGGGGCAGGGGAGAGAGGGAGAATAAAGGGTTCTACACACGAGTTCTTGGAGATCCCAAGCTCCTTACCTACCTGTGCATCAATGATTTTCTGCTTTGCATCAATGACAGCTTGCATCTCTGCGTGATCCTTTTTCAGCTCCTCTTCAACGGCCATGAGTCTGATGAGCAGAGAGGGACAAATTAGGACAGTTTAATACTATTCCCGAGTGTTTCAGGTACTCTGGCCTGTTGGTTTGACTTCTGTGCTTGTCCTGGCTCTGGCAAGGGAAGCGGGGAAGAATTCTGCTGCTCTCAGGAAAGATTATCTCTCCATCTGACACTCCCAATTGCTTAACCTTGTTATTCTCAGAATGGACACTGCCAAAAACGCAACTGCTCTGACAAACTGATCTCACGTACAGATTCCAAACAAAGGAAGAAAGATCTGCAATAAGTACAACAGAGACCAGGGTTACACAATTCCCAAACATTTTCCTTTGCTCTCCCGACAATCTCAGGCACGCTTCCCCACCTGCATCCCCCTTTCTTCACCTCTAAGACAGGACGGAGAGAACACGTGGCACAGGGGAGCTGCTTGTGCTGCCCACTCCCGAACTTCCCAAAGCCTCACCTGCTGATGATGCTTTTCATCTGGCTGTCCTTCTCCTCCTGCTGCCTGCGCAGTCTCTCCTCGCTGTCCTCCAGCCTAGACTTGTACTCCAGCAGCAGCTTCTGCATCTGCTGCTCCTGCACCAGGAGCCGCCGCTCGTACTCCTCCAGCCGGCGGCTGGACACCCGCAGGCGCTCCTTCAGCTTCGCTATCTCCTGCTCGTACTGCAGGGGGGCAAGGAGGGTTACACGGTATTACTTTATAAATCAGATGCAAAGGAAAAGAAGAGATCAGGTCATCGTAATGCCCTGCTGCTCTTAAGAGGATGCTGGGTTTTTTTGGAATGAGAAATAAGTTGATCGAAGTAAAGGAAGTGACAAGCAAACCTGGGGGCAACACAGAGAGGAGCACGGAGGCTCCCACTGGGCATCAAGCTGCTCCCACGCTGTGGGGTGTCACTCTGCAGCACAATTCAAGCAGTCAGGGGGCTCTGACATGGCTCTGACTCGTAACATCTCCTGTTACTCCAGATCTGAGCAGTTCCCAGACAGATGCTGCTAATGGCCTGTCAACTGGCCTGGGGTGCCCAAACCTACAAACCAGACTCACGCAGGACACAAATAATTCACTCTTCAGGACCTAACCAGGGCATGAAACCTCAGGTGAAGTCAGAACAAACCAGTCACTGCAGACCAGAGCCTGTCAGGTTACCTGGCTGAAGTTTTGGTCTTCTATTTCTTGTCTCTGTGGACAATCACTTCTGCAATAGTGCCATGAATCTGAACATATTCCTTTGTTTTGGGTTCATTCACCTTTCTTAACAATCTTATGTTCCGGCTTCTTTGTCCACTGAATGTTCTTCTCCTCACTCCCTGTCTTCTCAAAATACCAAAACTCTTATACAACTTCATGCCCACAGCAGCATGTGGATGTAACTGTACTTGGAAAAATGGAATCTACTTCTGAAAAAACATATGCTTTAAAAAAACCAGATCATAAAGATTTCCATGCAGCCCAGAAACGTTGCACTACCTGGGTGACAGGCATTTGCCTCAGGGGAAGCCCAAGACAATATTTGACTGCAACTGCTGATGAAGGCTGAGCTGCATTTACCGAGCCCTGTGCAGTCGCTGAGCACATCCTAAGCTATCCTCTGTCAGGTTAACAACCCTGATTTTTTTTTTTTACAGAGTTAATGATCACTAAAATGTTTTGCAAGCAGAGAAGAATGGCAGAATGTTGTAGCTGTAGTGCATAAATAAAAAATAATAAAAACTAATGACTTGAGCAGGATGTAATACACTCGGGCAGCGTGACTCACGATGCACTAGGTGCCAGATGTGATGTACAAGCTCAGCTCTGTCAGTTTGCTCCCATTTGACATGCTGCAGCCTGTAATCTGTGCTATGGGATGCTGTACTGCAGGAATGTGTGGCAGCATGTACAGCAGGAGCTCTGCCAATACAACCCGAGTGCAAACCCGTGACGCTGCGACAGCAGGGCCTGAAAGCCCATCCGAGCTCGGCTGTGGGTGCACAGGACTCACTGGTACCCCTGAGCTGGCTGCACACAGAATAAAATCTACCTTCTCAGCGTGCTTGACATCATCCAGGCTCTGTGCTGTGTCCTTCTTGGCCTCCTCATACTGGCCGTTGTTGAAGACCCAGGCAGCCGTCCTTTCCACCGGTGACAACGTGGCAGAGTCCACAGGCGACTGCACCTGGGGCAGAGACAGCTGTAAGCATCCCTCGGAGAAACCACACACAAACCAGCTCTAAAATTCCCTTCATTTGGAGGAGAAAGATGCCCATGACTGTCAGTCTCAAAGGATCCCCAAAACCTCTCCTGCAGGGATACACCATCCTCCCCCTTGACTCTGGACGTGCAGCAACTACCTGAATCCCTCTAAAACCAATGCACTTGAGAAATTTTTCTCTCTCTCTAAGTTCTTGTTTCCCAATCTTGTTCTCGCCTTTGCCACGCTGTCAGTAAGGTTTTCTCACCCTGCCATGTCTCCCACAGAGAAAACAGAGTGACAAAGCTTTGCTCACAGGTAGGAGAGGTTGGTTTCCTTGGAGTGCTGAGGAGCTGAACTTGGGAGCAGCTTCCTCAGCCAGGCTGGGACAGACTACAGAGGAGCATGGGACTGCACAGCTTGGATCTGGGACAGCACAGCAGGACTTTACTGTGGCAGGGGGGTGCGACAATGTCATAGCAGTGCTGAGTGGGAGAACTGTCCAACCTCTTTGGAGGCTCTCTCTCCTCTTTAAGGGAATCCAAAAAGGGAGCCAAGAAAAAAAAACCCAAGAAACTCTCCGCTTGGCTGGGGAAAACACGTCTTGCTACAAATTCCAAGCAATTTTCATGGACAAAGACGAGTTTATAAGCACAGGAATTAGCATAATTACCCCTGAAAGAGTAATACTGTCTCAAGTTCTTGAGAAATGCAAAAGATCAACTCCCCCCCCAACTGCAGCTTCTTTTTGTGCCCAGGCAGCTCTTCAGCTCCCTGCCTGGCCCCATGTTGAACCAAAGTGCAACATCTTCCCTGGCTGGGGCTTCTGAAGTCCCACTTTCAGCCAGGAGCTCTCCATGGGGGAGGGACAGCTTCTTTAGGAGTCAGGGATCACATCACCCTCCCGTTGTGTTTCTCATCCCAGGAGGACAGGGCTGGCAGGTGCTGCATCTGCTGCCACAGCCCAACTATCCTGAGCATCCATGGAAGAAGCCTCAGTAAAGATGGGTGTAAAGGCAAAGGAGAGATGGAGGATTAGCAAAAATCCCTGTATTTAGCAGAGGCCTTTTCCCTAGAAGGAAGTCTTCACAGCAGAAAGGCTAATAGCCCCTTAGGTATAGTGTGGCAGCCTGGCAAAGCTCCTTAATTCAGATTTATTTTTATGGCATTTGCTGTCAGGCAGCCACAGCAAGGGAGACTATGAACTGTGTGTGTGGCTCTGCCACCAACAGGCTCTTCCCAGAGGTAAATACTTTGGCTCTGTGAGTATTTGGAGAACTCAGGAGCAGCGATGGATAAGCATTCACTGGAGCTATGGAGGACTGAGAAAGTAGAAATGTGACTACAAAGTAGTCCATGCCCAGCCATGTTCCAGACTGCTGAGCAGCAGCAAACCTGGCCAAACAACCTTGCAAGTTTAGGACGGATTACTTCCAGCAGCCAAACTCTGAAAGCCAACAAAGAGTAAGTGGATGGCAAGCACTTCACAAGCCCATGGGTTATGAGTTATACTCTACTAAAGGGGAAAAAAGAACCAGCCTGCTAGGATAGAAAACAGAGTGGGAAAATAATGTATTTAATTACCCTTCCTTTGCCTCTCTTCCACAAGCATACCCACTTCAAATGATACACAATTGCTTTTTTGGGTGTTACTAACTTGGCCTATTAAAGCTTTGCTTTGTGATTCAGTGTTTCTGGTCTCGTACTTCAGTGAGCTTCAGGTATCAAAGTAGTTTTGAAGCCCTGATTGCTCCTGGGTTCCCAGGCATTCAGATTTTCTGCCTTTAATTGCAGCATTCAGGAGTTTGCCAAGAACGCTCCACTGACAGGGACAGCAGGAAAACCTTGGGCAGAGGTTGCTCTGCCAGCTTCACCTCACAGCCCAAAGCCTTCCTCCTGCAAAACCTCTGACCTGCACATCGAGTTTTTTACCCTCACTGCAGTGCCGAGCATTTAAATTTCTCTTTAAATTAACTCAGGAAAAGATTTTCCTACACAGCAAATCACAACAGGATTATCATTATTTCTTTCAAAAATGGTAAAGGAATGTTGGCTTTTTGACAGGAAACCTTTGATTTAGAGTTGCCTATGAACAACTGATAAAGCGCATCAGGAGCTGGTAGATATAAGCACTCATTTCCAGAAAATATCTGCATTATTCATAGTTCGGGATGATTAATGAAAAAACAGCACTTATTTGAGGACCAGCAAGAGATTGTTTCATCATGGTGAAATATGGATTTCTCCACACTTTAGACAACCGTGCTTATTTGTTACTTTGGCAGCAGTTTATTCTGCAATGTTTCATCTTTGTTCATTTCCCTGTTTTGAGGCAGCTCTGCTTTTAAATTAGCACCGCAGGGCAAACTCAGTCTCACGTGGCAATCTGAACTTCCATTCGGAACAAAGCTGCTCCTGTTTTGGTTTTTTTTTTTGTTTTGTTTTGTTTTTTTTTTTTTTCATTTAATTCAGGGAATGTTTCCAGTTCTGTTTCTTTCAGCAGGCTTGCTGCTACCTTAGTAAATGGAAAGCAGTTCTTTTTGAATGCAGTACAAAAGCATCCCAGTGTAAGAGATAAGCTGGTTTGCCAAGCTTATGATGGTGACAAGCATGACTAGTCCTTACACTTACCACTGGCTTAAGTGCTGCTGCTCTCGATTCAGCTCAACTCCAAGGTCAGGAGGCTTTGCAGCTCAAGGAGCAGTGGGCTGAAGCCCCAAGCAGAGAGGCCCGGAGACAGGTTTTCCTTACCTGCTGCGTCTGCTGCCGCTGAATCGCCCGCACCTTCGGGACGGGGCTTTCCCTGGAGGAGGAGGACTGGTGCCGGGAGCGGTTCCCGTTCTGGATGGGCTCAGTGCCCATGGCCCCCGACGCCCCGGACATGCTGCCCGTGCTGCGCAGGGAAGGGCTGTGTGTCAGGGTGTGCAGCGTTTTGGCCCTGGTGCCCAGCACGGTCTGGTCCATTTTGCGGATCTGGGCCTGGCTGCTGCTGTTCTGCCGGGGCAGCACCACCGGGACGTGCTTGTCCGTGCCCGTGGGGCGCCGGGACGAGTCCTCGCTCTGCGAGCTGCGCTTGGCAGAGTCCTCCAGGCTGCTGTTGCTGCGCCCGCTGGGCTTGAAGTCCTCGCTGTTGCTGCGGCTCCGGGAGCTGGCAGTGCTCAGGTTCTCCGGGCTGGAGTCCACAGAGGCCTTGGCCATCGGCGGGCTCGGGTTGTTGAGCTGGTAAACCGGGTTCTGGAATGAGAGAGGCCGGAGGCTGCCCTGTTGGTTCCAAGCCGGGTGCAGAGGCCTCCGAACCTGGGGAGCGCTCTGGGGGGTGCTCTGAGTGTCCCACAGCTGTTTGATGTTGGCCACCTGGGTGACGGAGAGCTGGCTGCCGGCCAGGCGCAAAGGCACGTCGTGCATCATGGAACCAGAGTCACCGTGGGTCGTGTGAGGGTCCTGGAGGTCCATGAGGGAGATGCTACGTCCGTTGGGCAAGACACTTACCTTCTCATCCTTATCCGAGCATGTCATGCTCTGGGTGGATGCCTGCTGAACCAGCAGTAAGGTCTTGCCCCTAAAATGTCCATCTACATTTTCCTGGGTTGGAGACTTCAGTCTGTTTATGTCCCTGTGGAGTGGAAAGGAATTTGGTTAATTTTTGAGCAGCCAAGACCCCAAGAGATGTGTCCCAGAGAAGTCCTTCTACCTCATTTAACCTCCCCCCACTGAAAGCTTCAAGGAACCAGACTTCCTTTTATGAGCATTTTGTGTGCAAGTCAGAACACACTCTTCTTTAATTACAGCTTATCTTGGAGAATTGTGTTTGATTCAAGAAGTGCTTCATCTTTATTTTTTTTTCAGAGGTGAAATCCAAACCATTCCCACCAAGTCCTCCCCCCTTAGCCCCTTCTGCCTCCAGCAGACATCAGATCCCATTTAACCCTTTGCCAGCATTATGTAACAAGTGGAAATGGCTTCAAGTTGTGCCAGGGAAGGTTTAAATTGGGTATTAGGTAAAATTTCTTCACCCAAAGGGTTGTCAAGCCCTGGCACAGGCTGCCCAATCCAAACCATTCCCACCAAGTCCTCCCCCCTTAGCCCCTTCTGCCTCCAGCAGACATCAGATCCCATTTAACCCTTTGCCAGCATTATGTAACAAGTGGAAATGGCTTCAAGTTGTGCCAGGGAAGGTTTAAATTGGGTATTAGGTAAAATTTCTTCACCCAAAGGGTTGTCAAGCCCTGGCACAGGCTGCCCAGGGCGGTGGCGGAGTCACCACCCCCGGAGGGATTTAAAAGGCTTGTAGATGTGGCACTTGGAGACATTGTTTAGTGGTGTCCTTGGCTGTTCTGGGTTAGCAGTTGAACTTGATAATCTTAGAGGGCTTTTCCAACCTTAATGATTCTATGACTCCATGTATTATGGAGGTCTGAAAATTCAGCAGGAGTTGTGTCAAGGCTCCTGTATACTCAGAGGGCAGAGAATTCCACATGACAAAACTGGCCCCTGTACCTGACAGCACAAAAATTACTCTGAGACCGCAGCAGCCGAGCTCTTTGGCAGTTCTGCCGTGTCACAGCTCCAGATTAACAGCTGTTAAAGTAGAAGAAATGCTGCACTAAACACAGCAGGGACTAGTTTTGCTGTTCCACAAGAAATAAGTTCCACCTACAGCTCAGTTTTTCCATCAGCAGTAAATAAGCAGCCCGATGGCCAGAAGGAAACACAATGGCTGACTGTGCATCTGAACACCCAGGCCGGCAGTAAATCCTAAAATTGGTTTTAGCAGCTTAAGTCACTGACTCCCAGAGATGTGGTTGAGTCCTGGCTAAGTCCAAAGCTTCAGGTCCCCAGTGCCACCTTGTGCACATCTTACTGGGAGCGTGTATTCCCCCGAGAGAGGCCCAAGCTCCCCGTTCCACAGCGGGGCTGGGCAGCCAGTTCAGGTGATGAAGTGCTCGACTCTTAGAATCACAGAGCCATAGAATGGTTGAAAGGGGACCTTGAAGATCATCTTGTTCCAACTCTTCACAGGTTTAACAATGCCCCCCACACCTGCCCTCGAGCCCTGGCTGGGACATACCCATCGGTGGGGTCCTCGGTTATCTTCTGAAGTCCCGAGGAGAGACTTCCCGTGACGTTTGGACTGGAGCTGTGCTCAGTGAAGCGCTTCAGCTGCTGCTGCGTGGGTGTGGGGTTGGTCATTGATTTTGTGATATCCGCAAGAATACGAGGAAGGGGTCCCAGTTTTGCCACGGTTGCCTGTAGGAAGGAATTTTCACCCTAATTGGATACAAGCACCGCGACATCCGCCGGGTTTGTGATTTTTGGTACCGGTGCACAGAGGCGGAGGGATGGAGGTGGAAGGAAGGAGGGTGGGTGGTTGTGTGCGGGTGTGCCAGGATCGGAATGCAGTGTGTTATGGAGCAGCGCAACGACGGCGACCAGATGGATGGAGGAGACGAAACGGGGTGCAGCAGACATTGAGGAAAGAAAAGGAAATAGAAAAGAAATTAGGATTGACCCCCCAAAAATAAAAATCATGCTCAATAAAACAAAACTATTGCCATTCCAGTGCAAAACTATCATGCAAAGCACGCTAAGTCCAGGGTGGGTGAGGTCAAAGTGAAAACTACGGCATCTGCTCATTGAAGGGCATTCAAAGGCTACAGATCCAGCCAGTGGGGGGAACTTTCCAGGCAGGGGGTGTCGTGTGGTAAAGGAAATGCATGCCAACAGACAAGGGGATGCAGCATTCCAGGGGATCATGAGAGGATCACAGGGGTTGAGGGTGATGGGGAAAGGGGAGGTTTTCATCTCATAAGCCTTTCGCTTTTGGCATCCTGCACCGACGCCTTCTCCTGGCGCACCGTTATCAACAACGAAGCCATTCTTCCCTACCTACATGTGAAAAATAACTGCATGAGAGCACCAAAGATCCTCATCCCAATATCATCCCACCAGCATGGGATTAAATGTGTGGCTGCAGTTACAGTTTAGCTCAGTGCTGGCCAGGCCTGGGGTGAGAGCAGCGGGCCTTCAGCAAGGAAGGCTGCTCCTCCACGCTCTGGCTTTCTCACCCCTTTGGGCCACTGCTGGGATATCAGCTACAGGGCATCTCCAGGCTCTTGGGACTGCAGGAAGAAGGTGAAGGTGCTGCAGGTTTATACAAGAAGTAAAACTCTGCTACAAAACCAATGTACTTCTCAAAGATACCCTTATTTTCCTGTAAGCAGGTATTCAGTTAGGCTCCACAGAGAGGTCTCTTTATAGACACTTCTGTGGCTATTAAAATTGCTGAGGTGACTTCTCTCATCATTTCCCAGTCACTCCCTACAGTAAAGCTGTATTGCATGTAACTTTACCCCTCAGTTCTCTTTTTTGCAAACCCCTATACCAGCTCCCAAGGGCCTGCTAGGATAGATCCATATGTCTAACCTATGGAAAGGGCTATGCAGATCCATACATTTGGAATGTACACTGTGTGCACGTACGAGGGAAACGGAAAAACAAGATCACAACTTGTTATCAAACAAGAGATTAATACATAGTCTTTTTGAGTCAAGGACATTTCAATTTACTCTGATACAACAAGCTCAGTTTTTTGTTTTCTCTTTTAAATAATGTACTGTGAGAAAATAGATACCCAACAAATAACTATTTTGGCAAACCTTAATGCAGTAAAAATATTGAGTGCATTGCCATTCACCTCACCTCTCCAGTTTCAAAAGAAAGAATAAGATAAATGGAATATGGACAAAATAATGCATCTCTAAAAGTTGAAATATGTAACAGTTCCAGGCACTTGGAAAAAAAAAAAAAGGACTCACAGCTCAGCTTTTCTGGGCCTTATCAACTACCTTTGCTATCAAGGTTTTAATGATTTTGGATCTTGCAAAGCCACATAGCTAAGGAAAAGCAAAGTCCTGCCTTTCCTCCTTCTGCAGCTAAATGGAAGCAGTGTTTATTGTTGCTGGTGAATGTTGGGATCAGAACAGAACCTGGACACTGCACCTGGACCTCAGCACAACCCACAGCAGAAAGCATCTTGCTTTGTTACAGGATGACACTCGGGAGTGCATCCAGGTTTTCACACGGCATCCTCTTGTATGCCAAAATCAAAGACTACGGAAATGAGACCATCTCAGCAGGCTTTGGATCAGGTCCTTGATGAGAACAGTTCTGCAGGGCCAACACATTCCTCCATCAGAGCTGGGGGAGGGCCTAGTGCCCAGCAGAGCACCTCCCTCGGCACCAAAAGGGCACTGCAGCGTTGCCACTGTCTCTGTCCAAACACCTCCCTTTCTTCCAGCTCGCTTATGAGAAAGGACTGGCTGCTCAGGGAATTCCAGGTGTACTTTTAAGCGCTGCCTTCACCACCTGACCTTCCTAAAGGCTCCGCAAAGAGTTTGCAGTGCTGCCGAAGCCCAACCACTTCACACGCCCCGCTCCAGGCCTTGATCCGAAACCGCGGAAGGAACGGTTGTGAAACACCCCCACCAAACACTCCCCTGCAAAGCTGCTGCCTTCAGCTGCTCCCTTGATATTTCCTGGTGTTTACTGTTGCTACGATACCATCCCTAGATCCACCCTCCCAGGCCTCCAAAGGGCTTTACCTTATCAAGCTGGGACACAACCTCCCACAGGAGGGAATGCAGCACCGAGAGCTCTCTGCCCAGGTCGATGTAGCCGTCGTATCCAGGCATGTTGGAGATGGTATCCGGGTTAGAGAGCTCCCTCAGGAAACGCTGCATTCCTCCCCACTCGTGCTCCAAAAATTCATTCATGAAGGCCATGTACTCTTCTTTGATGCCAAACCTGCAGGGAAGGGAGGCGGGGGAGGAAACCCAGTCAATAACCTCCACACAAAATACGGAGTACAAGTGCTTGCAGACAGTTTACTTAAACACTTAACTTTAGACCTGCCTTTCTGAAGATTTGGAGTCTTTAAAAAAAAAAAAATAAAAAGAGATTTCAAAATCTGGACATTTTGACTCCAAAATCTGGAGATGTCGAAAATCTGAAAATTTCAAAACCTTGGAGGAAAAAACCCACATGGACAATTTCTGTTTTCTTGGACTTATTTAAATACTACTGATTCACTGTTCATATTACAGTCAAGGGCTCAACACATCTCTTCCCTTTCTCCCACAAGACAGTCTTTCTCTCCTTCCCTTCTCTGCACCTGCTCCCCTGTAAGAGATGTGCCATGTCCTTTGTACGTTCAGCTGGGAACTGTGGAGGAAAATCATGATCCTGGGTGGGAACAGGCTTTTTTCCTTTTGAAACAGCATAAACACTGACATGCTAACGCATGACTCTTGTTGGTTTTATATGGTGTCCCCTCCATAGAACTCAACACAGCTCCAATCTGCATGTGAAAAGGAGAATTTATCTGAGGTGGCTCAAGGGGAACAGCGTTCACACCTAAGTGAGAAGTTTCCTTCTTTTCTAAACTGGCTTTGGTTTACCAGAGAATCAGCTGGCTGTGAGCACGACTAGGAATGAGGGCTCTGCTTGCACCCCACGGATTTCAGGTTCATTGCCACCACCTACTTGGCAAAATTGGCGAGGTTCTGGATGACTTTAGCAATGAGGGTGAGCGTGCGGGAGGTCTGGTCGTCAGGGTACTCCTGCATGAGGTTGAAGAGGCTGGGGGACATGATGGCAGGGCACAGGAAGCGGAGGAAGAGAGAGGCACTGATCAGGCGTTCACTGATGTCCTGCTTGCCCCTGTTCAGGCACTGCTGCTTCCAGGATGCAAAGACCTCCTTCAGCTCACGAGGGAACACGCTGAAAGACAAGAAACCAGGACATAAAATCATGCTGGCAATGAGATGCAAGAAGTTGAACTGGTGATCAGTCACCTGCAATAATTATCTGTGAGAAAACATCATCAGCTCTTTTTTCCACCTCCCCTTTTTCTCTCTCTAGGCTAGGTAATGTCATTAGGCATCTATTCATAGATCCCCATTTAATCTGGTGATACTTAAGTAGTCTTTAAAGCATCCCTTGTTCATATGAGTTAAGTGAAGCCATTTCCAGACATGCTGATTTGCAAGCTAAGAACTACTTAGCCATTGCTACCCTGGAGCAGACAGGGTGGTGGAGTATTGAAAAACAAACTGAACTCATCTCCATAACTGACAGTTTTACCTCACTTATTAAGCTCTCAATACTGTGCATGTGCTTCATTCTGAAGCAGAAAGGCCCCTCTTCTTTCACTGCTCCTCAGAAACAGAGACTAAAAGAAATCTCTCTGCTGACGCTTCCTCCCCATGATTTCCTGTTCAATTCCACACACCTGAAGCATCTAAAAGCTTTCTGTACACATCAAAACTTGGCAGCTTTTTATGCCAAGTTCAAGCTGGGCTGCTTTCTTCTCATTTTATTCCCTCCTTATCCAGTTACACTCCGTACGTGTTCCCTCGGCAGAGGATTTGGGCAGAAGCTCCTGTGGGTATGGTGTGTGGGCTGGGACCTTTCAACCTGGGCACAAATTCCACCTGCAATGTGGTGGCACACGTAGGAAGGTGGAGGGGAGGAAAAGAAGGGAGGCTGGGAAGATGGATGGGTCTGTGCTCTTTCCCTGAACCACTGCTGTTCTCTGTCAGGGGAGGAACAGGCACCCTCTGAGCAAACAGGGAAAAGGGGAGGGAAGATGCCTTACCAGTAGGAATTGATAATCTTGCAGAAGACCAGCTCACAGCACATTTTCAGGTTGCACTGATGATCTGCTAATTCACTCTGAGAACACCTGCTGGGATCCGCTTCACAGTTTTCATCTGACTCATACACAGCCTTGATAAACTCCCCTGGAAAAAGGGAAGAGGGTGAGAAACAGGGGTAGATACAGGAAAAGCCTACTTGACACACCTTTAAATCCTGATTATGTCTTCCCCTGGCAACTGCCTGTCCTGCTGCCAGTGTCTGCAGTACAGCCTCCAGACACCAGATGTTGGGGACATGACTCCTCCCAGCCTTGTCCGAGCAGGGCACGGCCAGTGCTCTGATGCTTCAGCCTCCTGTGCCCTCACTGTCCCCAAGCACAGGTGCAAAAACAGGATGGCTTTGCTTAGCAACCCTGCAGACACTTCACTTATGGCCTAAAGAGGAGGATCTGACTTTGTATTCAAACCCTGTTATCAACCATAAAATCATCCACAGTCTCAGAAATGAAGCTCTGTGTTATTTGTCTTCATAATTTCCCCAGGAAACGCACTTGGCAATGATATTTATTTATATTATTTTTAAATATGCAATTTTTTCTAATTTTAAAAAGTGTCACCTTGCTCTTGAATAAGAGTAATACCTGAGTTCTAGCTAGATGCTGCTAATTTTCACAGCCTCTTATATCAGCACCTTACAGCATTTTTATAGCCTGCATCTTTCAAGCTCCCTGGCATTTGTCACCCTCCCCTTACGGCATCACAGCAGAAGCTGCACACATACAAACCAGATGAAGTTGCCTTTGTCTGACATAGTGGAATGAACTGCTCACTAGTTTCCCTGTTCTATATGCAGGCACACCAAGTGGTTTTCAAACTGTTGGTGTTCACTAGGAAAACTCCTTATTCATTGATTCAATGATTCAACGTCTTTCATCTCCTCTGATGATCTCGCTGGCTCCAAGCAAACACCAAGGCTTGTTTGTGCAAAAGGGGTTTGCTTTCAGCCTTTGTTTTCCTTAAACACCTCCCACCCCTCCCCAAATCTCAACTCAGCAGTCTTGTTGCAAGCAAAGTAGGTAGCACATTTTCTTTTTTTTTTTCTTTTTTTTTTCTTTTTTGTGATGGGTTCCAAAAAATTTCAGGCTAAAGGCACCTAGATAACCTCTTTGCAAAACTCCTGGCATCACTTTTGTTGAGCCAATTCTGGTTTATCTGTTGTTTACTGGATAGTATTTTTCTTCCTTAAACACACTTGATACTTACTCATAGTGGCCCACAAGACCCTGCCTTAATCATATATAATATGTCCTTACAGATGTGTTACAACTCTAACACCAAGTGTGGTGTCATTAATCCTTTCACAGAACATGGCAGCTGAGCAAAATGACATTTAGAACTTGGTAAAGAATTAGATGGGGATATTGTCATGAGCAATGTTGCCCCGAGATACAGACAGGCTGGACAACCTTAGGGGGATGTTTCCATCTCCCCTGTCTATGATTTACCATCTTATCACTCAGTGCTAAATGATGTATTAGAAGTCATTAATGTTAAAATATTTTTATGCAATTACTGCACATTAAGGAGCTTGCAGTCAGATATAATGGAGTGGTCCCACAGCTGATGGCTCAGCCTGCTGGGAAGCACAGCACAAAGTACCACGCTGCTCGTTTCCCCGTACCAGGCAAGAGCCTACAACTGCCACTTATGCTCAGTGGTTCCACCCAGGAGAGTAAGAGCACCAGAACAGGCTCATTATGCTTCAGAAATGGCCAAACTGGATATAATCACAGACCTGACTATGCTGACCCTTGGAGCACTAATTTAGCCAGCTATCTCCTTGATGCCTTGCCAGCGTCTGGGATTGCTGAGGACAAGCGAGACTGCTGGGAAAGCAAGCTGCTTGGCTTTTTTTCTTTTTTTTTATCTTGTTTTTTTTTTTTGAAAGGATGTGGTGTGGGACTTGGCTTTGGCCTGATCTTGTTTCCCTTGTATCAATTTCCAAAGCTTTCCTCATCCCAGAAACAGCAGGGGGATGGGTGGCTCCTCGTGCAATTGTGGATAATGAAGACTGTGCGGAGTTGGTAAAAGCTGACTGCAGGGTTTGTCTGGGAAAGAGTGTGCTACTGCTATATTTGTGTGGACAGGAATTCCCAAGGCAGTGCCTTATGATTAGAGCAGAACCTTTTGATGGAAGTGGGACAATAATACAATTATCAGAATCCACCCCAGCACATAACTGTGGACATTAGGACTCTGTGGGGGAAACAGAGTAGGAGATTCCGGGTTGGCCAGGCAGTTTTAATGAGGCAGTGAGTAAGGAGCACTTGGGATAAACACAGGCAGGAGGCAGGAGGCTCCCCTGACAGGATACATCTTGATCTCCTGCCCTGGGATGCTCAGCAGCCCTGCAGCCTCACTCCCTGACCTTGTTTCTGTAAGGACTGTCTTTCAAAATCCCTTTTTTAAGCCTGTTTGTTTATCAGATGGAACAATCACCACTGCCCACAAAGAAACTGCAGTGTTATACCTTTTCATCACACTAGAGAAAAGCTACCCAGAAAGATATAACGTGGTAACACAAGCTTTAAGAGGGACTCAGCTACATCCAATCAAGCCTGCCTTGCCTTGGGTGCTACTCCTGCAGGCACCAAAGAGGATCCTCCTCCATCTGGAGGAAGAGCATTGAGAGCAAGACAAGAGTGTATTTTGCTGTCTGGATACCAGACTTTCTTACCCAGGGCATCCTGAAGGTACTTCTGCCCTACCAACTTGAGGTACTCCTCAATAGCTTTGGTAGCAAGTGTGTTCTCCCTGAAGATCAAGACATCGTGTTCCCCACAACGATCCACCTCGGCCATCACCAAATCCGTCAAGAAGTCCTGAAGAAAAAGGTCAGATGGCAAAGGTTACTTGAACCAGACTCAACTGTGCCAGGCTGACTGCAGAAGCCCAGAAGGAAGGATAAACAGAGGAGCCAGAGGATTACTGAAAATAATTGCTCAGCTTGGGACAAAGGGTGCAGCTGACACATAAAATAAGGGCCAAGGAAATAGTACAGCTCCTCCTGGGTTTATTATACTGTGGCTTTGTCTGCTGAAAGAAACTGTGCTATTATATTTATATTTTTTATACAGATTATTCCATACAAAGTTGGACTTAAAAGTCCAGGTTGGAAGTGAGGCACAAGTTCTTATGGCTTGGTGAAATTTAAATAAGGAGAATGGCATAATAAATTTAATTCACAAAACCACAAAAGTGGTTCAGGATCTGGGGAAAAAGAAATTATCATACTTGCTGTGGATCTATATGACTTAACATGAACTGTATTCAATTGCCCAGGCAGAAACTATCAGCAAGCCTTGATACAGACAATAACCTCTTGATATAAGGTCTAATTCTACAGTAATACTTATTTCCTGAAGTGATAACTTTGTGTGAGTCAAGGACATTTAGTACTCCTGGTTTTCAATCCATTATTGCTGTTTCTTTTCAACAAAATCCAAGAGAATTCTTTTCACCTGGTGCCAATTGGGAACATCCAGCTGCATCCCCATCAGCAACTGGAAATGTACCTTCTTGGGAGCTTTAGATTATGGCAGCCTGAGCCACTCAGTGCTTCCCATAAACAGAGGTTCAAATCTTCACACACCAAGAATGCTAAGTTGTAACAGCTGGCACTGCAGGAATCCAGAGCCTGTTTCCCAGCAGGATTTCAATACAATCCTAGCTACCAGCTTCTCTCAGACAACTTGTTAAGGAACAAGCTCCCATCACACACTGTCACAGAGCACCAGCCTTCCCAAGACGTACGTCAAGGGGCAGGTGATTATGCAAACAGAAAAGGACCTTTTTGGAACAGCTAAATGAGGCTGTCCCTTGGATGTTGCTTATGGCCATGCTTCCACATCTCTGTCCCTCTGACTTGTGCTTGGTTGGGATTAACTTGCTCTAACTGGCTTCACTGCAAGGAGCTGACTTTAGCGTGGTACTGCTCACACACCCAGCCGGAGGCGGCACCCAGATAAATCAGTGTCCCTTAATGCTGCTCAGAATTTCCCAGGACCTGCAGGATAACTCTCCCACAGTCCATTTGTAGGAATCAGTGTGTACCCAGAAGTCCTAGCAACATCCTTGGGGCAGGTGGGATCACCACTAACTCAGTATAGATTCTCCAAGTGGCTGTTCAAACGCTGGCCAAATCGATGTCGGCATCGATTCGCCGACTCAGCGCTGACTCAGCGCTGGCACCCGCTGCTCGCTGTATCACAGACTTATTGTATCACAGATTCTATTTGGAGAATTCTCCAGTTTACCCATCTCTTGCTTATTTATCTCTTAACCTATATCCTGACTTTAGAAATGCAGGAAAGGTTCCTGAACATTCAGCTGCAGGCCCTAATTTTTAGAATAACGTGAAGTTCTGAACTCTTCATGCTTACGCTTTGTACGGAGCATCTTCTGCTGTTGCCTATGGCCATGGGCTTCCCAGTTTCCACCTGAAATCACCCATCAGTAGCTCCAACAGGAGCTCCAACAGGAGTCACCTGTGCTTACCTTTGCTCTCCCAGTGCTCTGAAGAATGTGCACCAAGGCACAAGCCATCTCCTCCTTGTTCTTGACGCTGATCACAGGCTCCAGCACGGAGCACAGCAGGGAGTAGTTGCTGGTAACATACTCCCCAAACTCTTTGTATTGCTCCATGGGCAAGATGGTGATGGTCTGGTAACGGGACTTGATCCGAATGGAAGGCCCCCCTGACTTCCCCTTGTTGGCTGTAGGTGTGCTCACTGGGTACCATTTCTCCACAAACTGCCGACCGGTCACGCTGGCCGTGGGAATGTTGACCAGCCCTATGTAATTGTTCTTGTCCTTTTTCTTTTTCTTCTCCACGTCCTTGTAGATGTGAACTGTGATGCTCTGAACGTGTGGGAGAGTGTAGAACTCAAAGTGCTCCCCCCAGAAGATGTTGTCTGCTTTTGCTTTGCTGGTGGTGCGGGCAAAGAGAGTGTCATCAAGGCACAGCTCACAGAAGTATTTCTTCTTGGGGGTCAGGTCCTTGGCCTCAATGATCCAGAGGCGCAGCACGTTCTCAGCTCGACGGCAATTGTCCTGTGCAGAAGAAAGAGCTCAGTTCTGATCCCAAATCCCCAAAAGTTTTGTCTTCTAAAGCAGCAGCAAAGGACTGCCTTTTGTGTCCAAGGTAAGGACAGTGTCAGAATTCAGAATCAGACTGTCTGATCCAGAGAGAATAAGAATCTCTAGAAAAACTGGACACTTTCTAAAACAGAGGCAAAGGGATGTCTTTTGTATGTCAAGGGCGGGGACTAGAACATTTTTCTTCTTCAAAAGCTGTATTTGAAATACCTTAGAAAACAAACATGCAGCACAAGAGCCCCTCATAAGCTGCTGGACTGCTGTGGCACACTGCCTTGTTTACTCTTGTGAGTAACTCCCAGAGCACTGTTTGCCTGTCCCTGGAAGGCGGGATGCCAGCTATGCAGCGACTTATCTGATTCCCCTTCTCACTTCAGCTCCAATTACTTTTATTTTTGTGGGGGTTTTTTTTGTTTGTTTGTTTGTTTGTTTGTTTTTCCTCCCCAAACTGGGCCCCTGCAGTAAAACACGACCCTTAGGAAGCTATTGCCCCATGCTCGGGGGCACAGCACCAGCAATCCAGGATCCCAGGCGGGCCCTGGGGCAGGGACGGGGCGTGTGTTTACTCCTTAAAGGTCTGACCTACTGCACTCCCTGGAATAGCACACGGCGGCTTCGGGCACACGGATGAGCGGACGGCTCCCCAGACTAAATTAATTGAGGATGCATCTGTGGGAAGCCCTGGTACACCGGACTCAAATCCAATCATACCACCTCCATTCCCCCACTAATCTTATTTCCGCAGTTTCTGTTACCTTCATCGGCTGCGATATTCGGCGTATGTTTTCCATCCACCAGTCCCTCTCTGCTGCAGAGCAACAACTGAAGCATTTACTGCCCTTGGAGTAGGTTACCTGCAACGAGTAAATGACAGGCTGAGTGCAGGCAAGCCTGGGAGACATGCGAGAGGCTGCAAAAAGCAAGGAAGGAGATAAGCAGTGCTCGAGTAACAAAGTAAATAAGAAAACGGCAGGCAAACAGCACAGCAGCCTGAAAGGGAGAGAGGTTAAGAGGCCCACAAAATGCAAAGAGAGCAAAGAAACCCTCTGAATTTATATAAAACTAAACAAACATATGAGTAGCAGCAGAGGCTCCTCTTAAAGACTTTTAAACAAAGCTTTAATCAACCAGTTAATTTATGTTTTTTTAAACACTTGTTAATTGATCCATAGCTATTAAAGCTTGCTGTTTTTCCTGTTAAGGCCCAAAGGCAGATGACTCGGTTACCAAGAGGGTAAAGACAGGCAGAATGAACAATGCATTAATATAAGGCAAAACACACTGGCAACGATGATTTCAGTAAATAAAAAAAATATTTCCAAGGGCCCACACAGGCAGCAAAAGTCTAAAACAAACTGAGGGAGTTGTGCTCTGCTGCAGCCGTGACACTCACTGCCCTACACAGCTCTGCTTTCCCACAGGAGGGAACCACCTCAGTTTCTTGCACTGTTACGTGGCCTGACAAGCCTCATTTACTCTTTCCATTCATTTGTGCACACAATTACAAAGCAGTTTGAGGCTGCAGAGTCAGAGCTAAGCTGTTGCCAGTATTTTCCACCCAACTCCCCAAACCTAAGCAAGCTGCAAAGTGCTTCCAACCAGAAGAATGAGGCCGAAGCAAACAGGAACAGTTCCTGGATACATCCCGAGGGAGCAGAGCTTGATATGCTGGTTTACTGCCAGAATTTTCCAGGCTGTAAACAGATCTTTGTTCCAGAAGTTTAGACCCATCTGACTAATCCTGCAGAAGACAGAGAGCCACCCGGCCCTGCCACCGCAGGTGACGATGGCTCAGCTGCATCCAAACACACACATGACTCCGTGTGACAATCCCTGCTGGAGCTGTGAGGGGAGGACTGTGCTCACACACACGGCCTGTTCCCGGAGCAGAGCTCGGAGCCACGGCCTGCAGCCTGTGCTGAAACAGCAAAAGGATCTTTGGATCCTGCTCCACAGTGCAAGGGACACGTCCGTGCTTACTGAGGCTTCTCCTCTGGCAGCTGGAGAACGGGCTGAGCTAATGGAAGGGGGCTCTGACTGGAAAGTCCATTTCTCAGTTACAGTAAATTTTCTGAATTTAATTTTAGGTGAATTTGGACGTGAACACACAGCTTATGCCCATACTATTGCAGGTTCATTGCACTGCACGTATCAACCGGACACCTGCATGCAAACCACACACGCTCAGGTATTTATCGAATTAAAGAGATTTTTCAATTAGGAGACCTGGTAATTGAAAAAGATTCCTCTCTGTTGAGTGACTGATGCCATTAGCCTCAAGGACTTTAAAATCACGTGCTGGTTCAACAGCCCCCACCCAAAACTCAGCACGGCAGCCAATCTATTTTCCAGTTCCCAAGTCCCAGAGCAGTGATCTCTGAGGGCTCGGGGAGACCGAGAGCTGCGCGTTTGGAGCTCACCTCAAAGCAGAAGTCTCGTCCAAGGATGCTGCTGTGGAGTGGTTTGACATAAACTGCTTCTTCTGCTGCAAAATCCAGAGTCTCTATGGTGTTGGCGTGGTTCAGTAAAGACTCATGGGAACGGGACTCCTTCAGCTTGGGCAGCTCACGTGGTCTGCAGGACAAGAAGGAAAGGAAACATCACTTTTCTCACAATTACCAAAAGAGCTGGCAAGATCCCAGACAAAGCTGCAGCTTGTTGGTGCTTATTCAGAACAACTTCTGCAATTAGTCTGCAAACCTTATGAAAATAACATTAGGCCAGTAACCCCAGACTCCCAAAGGAATATCCAGCTACGCATGCCTTGGAAGTCCATTCCCACTGACCTAGAAATTGTAGCTGCCGAGCTGTCAGTGAAAGAAAAACAGCAAAACAAAAAGTTCAGAATTTAACTGCTGAAATTTAAAGAAAACCCAGAGATAGCTTTGGACATATTACTGAAAATATTTGTTACTAGCTAGTGTAGTGGAAAAATATCGTGTATTAGCAGCAAAAAGCACATGGACCTCTAAATCCATAGCCAGTGCAGAATGAGAGCAGATGACCCCCCACAATACACTTGATTTTTAACAAACAAAGCCTTTACACTAAAGTAAAAAAATGCAAATTTCTTCCCACTTCATAATTTTAAAGTCAGTCACCTACATTCCTCAGGCTTCTTCCAGTTTGAACAATTTCCCATTTTCTGGATACATCCATTCTCTTTTAACTTCTCCTCACTAATGCACATGGCTTCTCCTTTTCAGTCCACTGTCCTGTAAACCCCTGAGCTCCACCAGAGCTGGCATCTCCCAAATTCACAGCACCTTTTTATCAAGGCAGCCTTCTCTTTGTCCCTACCAGTTCTTGAATATTTCTCAAAGACATATCCCTCCTTCCACCATGCCACAGCTTTTGGCAATCAACAGCAGCATTAGAAAACGTGTTCTAACACTTTCTGTTCTCCTCCAGTTTGATTTAATGCAACATTTGTGCATAGTAGGGAGCTCTGCTGTCACACAGTACTACAAAACATGCCCATTTATAGGTGACATGGTTCCATCTCTGCTCCTTCTGACTCCAAACTGACACCTGGACTAGAAGCTCCTGCAGTAAAGCTATATAATGCTTGAGGTACAACTTGCATCCCAAGGTAAATGCCATGTACAGACACATCTTATTTTTCCTGAGAAAAATTCCTGGCTGGAATCCAGTCAAAGCCTTCACAGCTGACCAACAAGCAGGAAGAGCACAGAGTCCCAGCTTAGCAGAAAAGGAGCTGTTTGCCTGGCAGGTCTAGATTTTGTAAAGGTATTGAAGTCCCTACGTTCAGTGACCCCTGAGAGTGTGTCCATAATGTAGCTGCCCATCCAGCAAGTGTGACTGAGCACAAGGAACAGATGTGAAAGGAAAGAGGCATCAGCTCTCTACACATCATGCAGAGAAAGGTGGTGCTCCTGTGTCCATCCTCAGTATTTCCTCTTTTTTTTTTCCCTAATTTTGAAAAGTAAGTATTTTTTGTATCCTGCCTTTAAAAACCTTATACAAAAAAAAAAATCAAACTCATATTCTGCTTCCTTCGCAAAATCCAAATTCTCCTACCTGTGAGCAACTCTATAGGGCAACAAAGGGGAAAAAAATTCCAAGCATTTGAAAAAGGCTTCTTAACAAAACCTTGGGTACCACAAAGGGTACATGCAGTGCAGCAAGCAGAGCTCACCTGACTGCTCTTTTGTCCAGAACGAAACGCTAAAGGTATTCGAGCAGATTCACACGCGATAAGATTTATTACACAGTAAGGGAGAACTCTGTTCCCTTTTAATATACTGAATGACCTAAGTGCAGCCAGCAAAACCCTTTGATGGGAGGAATATTCCAAAGACACTGATTTCAGATGCAAAGCAGCAGCCCTGGTACGAGGCTGTGCTTTGTTCTAACAGGTTCCAGCAGCAGCTGAACCAACGCAAACCGAAAACCTCAGCCATGTATAATTGAGCACTCGCTGCAGCTAAGGTAGGGCAAGTCTAAAATAAACACACCACAATACACCACTTTAATGCCATCTCTGCAAAATCCTCTCTAATTTCTCCTCTCAGGAAAGCACTGCTGAGGTCACTTGGCTTCTGTCCCTGCCCTAAACTCTCAGTGATTCCAGTCCTTACGAAGCGCTTGGGTGCTGAGAGCCTGCAGCCAGCTCCTGGTTGAGGAAGGAAAGCATGGAGTGGTTGCACAGAGGGGGAAGGGGAGGGAGAGATAAACAATTACCAAAGAAAGGAGAAAGAAAGAGAGATTTTGCAAATCTCAGTTCAGTGGAGGCTGCACTTGGAGCAAGACAAGGCAAGCAGACCTACGCGAAACAATTGCACAGCCGCTTAGCAGTGCATCCCCAAATCATTGCGGTGCCACATGCCACGGCCCTTCCCTGCAAACTTCCTTCTCTGGGCTACATCTCAGACAAGAAATCCTGCCGGGGGAGGAAGAAAGGCACAAGACAAATCCAAGAGGAGCTCTTCCTCAAGCCTCAGGTTACAGATTTCAGACGAACATCCTGCCAGGCAGATAGGCTGGGGCCAGGAGAGCAGCCAGTGAAGAAAGCTCTCTCCTCGGCGGCGGCTGCGCTCCCACCGGCCCTGCACGGAGAGGCTCCCAGGAGAGGCTCCCAGGTCCATGTTGCCATGACACAGCCTCCCTTAAGGAGATTAGGGGGGGCTGGCAGCCTGGAGAGGCAGCAGGCGAGGGGAGGCCGCTCCGCAGACGTGGCAAAGGTGACCTTTCCAGAGAGGGAAGTTCCCTCCTCCTCGTCCTTTCCTATGAATTTGATGAGATCCGGTCATTAAAGCCAGAGGGAGAGAGCGAGTCATCTGCCAAGAAAGCCTCCAAACAGCCTCTGGGGACAGGGCAGGGGCAAGGGCAGGTACACACAGTGACTGCACTCTGTGTCTCCACATCCCATCCTGCAAGTTACACCTTGTAGTAGCATCTCTTCCGCTCCATCGCTCCTCTGACTAGTCAGCTGTGAGCAGCTGGGTTTGTTGCAGAGCAGCTGGAGCACTGGTTGTTTTGTTGACTCAGGGTCCCTGTTCGAACGATCCCTTGAAGTTACTGTATTTAAAACAGCTCAATAAACTGATTAAGTGGCTTGGAATTGGCACTGTATCTTCCACAAACATCAGAGGCAACAGTCGTAAAGCTGTTGGTTAGATGCAACCACATGCATTTACAAACACAAGTACATGCATTTGTAAGCACCACGGTATAGATTTCATCTATTGATAGATCTGCAAAGCAGATCATTGACTTGTGCCTAAATCAGCAGCATCCCAATCGATTTAGGCAATAATTATACAGAAGTAATAGTTCTCTGCAGCTTTAAAGCCTCATCTGATATGCTGAAGCAGTAACAAGGAAAGAAAATTGCTTGCTGGCTTCCCTTTGGCATAGATGCCACGAATTTATTTCCCAATGTCCAGCAAAGGGGCTGGATTAACAGGGTCCTTCCTGTATTAGGTAGGAAGCTACTGGTAAAATGAGTATTGCTCAGTCTCTGTCAGGAGAGAGGTAATCCCAGGGAAGCAGATTACTGTAAACAGGAAGATCACACATGCAAAAGGTGGGGGAAGGGTTGTTTGTACAAATCTGTTTCTGTTAAACAGCTCCATTAACAACACAAATCCTGTTTTAAATTACATTTAACCTCCCGTGGTCAACTTTTTATCCTGCTGCTTTTTTTATCTACAACAGAGGTCATACAGGAACTACATGGGCGTTCAGAGCAAACAGTTACCAAAGCACCAAATAATTCTTACACAGGTATTCTCCATAATTTCTTTCCAATAGGAAAAACAGGCGGACGAGGAGCACGTCAGGGAACATTTCAAACTTTTCACCTCTTTTCACATGTTTTGGGGTACTGGTCTTCAGAGCTGCATAATTTCCTTCTAAATCAGAGCCCAGACAATGCCCCAAACCACTGACCTGTGACTGATACTGGAAAAAGAGTTCTCCAACCATCCCATCTTGCTGGCCCAGCCCCTAGCTGACCCTCTCTCCTTGCACACCATAATTCAGTAATTTTCCATGACAGGAAGATCTCAGTTGTAAGCTAGGAACTAGGAACCTCTGGCTTTCAGTGGCCACCCATGGCACACAGCAGCCTATTAGCCAACTTCTATTATATTCCACTGTCTATAAGGCACGTAGGATAAAGGGTTAAAATACTAATTGCTCCGGTTATGAAGCTCTCCTGCTGGTTTTGGCCTATTTAAAAGCCAACCTACAAGGCACAAAAGACTTCCAATTACTGAGTTTACCAGGGAGAGCACTACATTGCTTGGAAAACAAGCCTGTGGACAACAAATAATCCAAAAGATAAAAAAAAATAACCGTTTAAAAATGAACTTTCTTTTACCACACTGGCACGAAAGGAAAGAACTCAGCCCAAGCACCCAACTACAGCCAAGCCTCCACCCGGCCTCGCAGGACGCTGGGCGTCCGCACGCTCCAAGTAATGCCAGCACAACCCCCGTGTGTTCAGAGAGACTTTCCCCGAGATCAGAAAGGCAAATTCAATACTTAGCCACTCTGCCAAGTCACAGGAGAGAGAGCCTGGGCTGTGATGCAGCGGGCTTTCCGCGGCCTTTCCAGCTCCCAGCCCTGCCGAGCGGGACCCGCACCTTCCTCAGCATCACCTGTGAGGCACCTTTGCTCTGCCAGGGCTGCAGCATCAGGTTTCTCTGTCCAAGCGTTCATTTTGTAGGCACCACACCCTGCTTCGTTTTCCAACTGCCAATTAGCTGAACATCCTATTACCTGGTCAACAATTCTACAAGTCTAACCAGTTTCATTATTAATTTTTTTTTTTTTTCCCCAAAAATCAGAAACTTAGGGTAACTTATTTAGCTGCAAGTTCTACTCAGGTGAGATTAGGCTTTTTCTGAGCCTATTGTTTCAGTCTTCCACTGGGATTCTGTTTTCTGCCAAGGTCCTACCCAAAGCCTCATTGTTTGAATCCTGGATTTGCAAAGCCCTTCCCTGCCTGTCCACTGTCCCTGTGGATCACAGCTTGTCTAACAAATTCACACTGAATTTCACAGCGGGAGACTTCTCCCCACTCCTCTGTCAGCTGGTCTCTGCTATTAACGTTTCCAATTGGTTTGTTGTGATGGACCAGAGATGCTCAATTGATTCACTTTCCTTTCACTGCTAAACTATAGGTGAATGCTACGTGGAGGAGCTCAGGCTTTGCACAAAAGCATCAGCCATAAAGAAATATGTTTTTATTAAGGGGTCAAGGCACACCAGGCACTGGGATCTTGTTCAGTTTTCACTGAAAACCAAACAACTGTGTGAGGATTGAAAAACGCCTGGCTGAAAGAACTGTGTCCACCAAATCAGGAGAGAGGCGTCTCTCCGGAAACAAACCACTCCTCCCCTTTCCCCATCCTCCAGCGTGCTGATAGCAACAGATATAGTGAATGAATGCAAGCTCAGAGTGACTCAAGCCCTAATAATGCATTGTGTAACACAGATTTCTATCCTGACATCTAAATCAGGGTGAAAATCCCCCACCCTTTTTCAAAAACCAGCATTAAATTAGCACGAACCCGAAAAACCCGGCAAGTTTTGCCTCTGTTACTGACACTACCTGTGCTATTTTCTCACTGCAAAGACACAGGGAGGGAGGAGCGAGAACTCACCGAAAGTAGAAGAAGCTGCTGCTTGAGGAGTGGTACCGTTTCACCATGAACCCCAGAGCCATGGTTACCTGCTGCCCTGCAACCTGCCGGGGCCCATTCCGAGCCGGCACGCGGCGGATCCTGCGCTCCACACGGACCCCGCGCCACGACTGTCTCGTAATGCCATGAAATGACTTTCAGCAAAGCAGGAGGATTCCCACGTGGCACTAAATCCCAACAGGGCAAAACCCTCCCAGCTGTCTGCAGGGCTTTACTGCAGTCACCGAGACCATATGCAGCCAGTCCCCAACCATCTTTGCTCCCTCACAGTAAACAAAACTGTTGGTCCTCTTGGAAATACTCTCAAATTCCTGCCCGCAAACTGAAAATATTAATTTGGTCTCTCCTTTCAAATGTAATTTTCATTAGGTCTTTTCTCGTGCTTTTTTTACATGTTTTATATATTAATGATACTCATTAATACGTAACAAACTCATGAATGTGTCACAAATTAATAATGACAGACATTAAAGACGAACATGCGAGTTGCAAAGCTCAGAGGATGCAGTAGGAAACAGGCTGGAAAAGCTGTGGAAGGTGCTGCGGTGACACGGTGCCAGGTCACCTCATGGAGAGAGCTCTTGGCAACCTGGTGAGTTGCTGTGCTGGCCACACACCTGAAGAGCCTCATCCACACCTGCCGTGGGTCACAACCCAGCAGAGCCTGAGCTTTTCCATATTAGTGCCTTGTAAACTAAATGTGCCGATCCACGTTTCTGGAGGGGCACCACAGCTCTCTCCACTCCCCCATCCACTAACCCAGACACACTGAAATAGAGTTAAAAGCCAGAAAACAGAGGTTGGCCAGTTGCTTTCTGCTGAAACAGAAAATCTGATTATGAAAAATCAGCAACTCATCTCCATCAATGCTCCCTACAGCATTCCTGGCTCCTTCCTATTTTGAATCAACTCTGAACAGACAGCATCCATCCTCTGTTCCCATTCAGCATGGCATGCAGTGTTACAGTATTCCAAATCTTGAGGTACACCAGGGTAAATAATCTTCCTTACTCCAGAATTTTAGAGATATTTATCTACAAACATCTCCACTTTCTTAGCAGGACCCGAAGATCTCAAAAGCATGAGAAAGCAATATGACAGTAGCCTCTATTTCCTTCTAATCCTTGCAGGGTTTTAATTTATAAAGCTGTATAATGCTTTCTTTGAAGGCAGGGTTCTTGTATTTGTCAGAACAGGAAAAGAGAAATACTATCAGTCAACCTGGCCCTAAAAACCTGTGTAACACCATGACATCACCTAGAACCACCTGCTTAAAATGGGAAAGGGCTGACTCACCAGGGTAGGACAGGAAAGTTTTTGCTGCAACAGATCAGGACTCATACAGAACACAGGGAGAACAGAAGGTGAGAGAGTGGCAACTCCTCCTCACGAATTTAGAGTCAGCTGCTATGTTCAATAATGCCACCATGTGACAAAGCACCTGGATTTTATGCTTTGCAGGCCATCAGAGAAAATCCACGTTTCATTCAAGTCTATTTGATAATTTGTGCCAACACCTGCAGGGAGTAGAAGGGGACAGGGAGTAGATCTATTTTTAAAGAGACTTTGCTGTGTGTAACATCATGCCTTAAACCAAAGTTGTAGGAATTAATTACAGCTACATTTGTTGGCTTTCCCAGAATGACAGCACTTCCTTGACAGTGCAGGAGCAAGTATCCAGTATAAGTACCAACTTCAGGAAGGACAACCAGATTATTTATGGCATATTTATTACAAAAATTCAAGCAAAGCTGGTTACAAACAACAGTAAAAATAACAGGTACACGTTGCAACACCCTGAAAATAAAGATTTATAAGAAAACTTGACTCAAAGCAGACTGGGTGGACATTACCATGACTACAGGAGCAAAGCCATCCACATGGACAGTCATAGCTGGGAAGCAGCAGGGTTTGCTGTAACTCCTGACGTTAACAGACCTCCAACAACCCCAGCCTTGCTATCTCCCTGATTTTATGGTGCTGCCTTTCAGATGGAGAAGACAGCACCATTGATTGAAGCAGCACAGCATGACAGATACAACTAATGAATTCAACTCTGCTAAAGGAGAAGGGAAATGGCACTAAACAATGTAAAAATCACAGAAGCCTGGCGTGGCCTCAAGTACGGGGCAACCTGTTTTTCACTCAGTCTAGTTGTCCTGCTGGGCTACTGTGGAATGTAACACAGAGTAATGGTTAATAAAAACAATCAAGAAACTTTACAAATAGTTAGGAAACACCATGTGTAAGAGCTTTTGCTTGCCTCATATACAATCCATTCCCAGTCTGAACCGCCAGCCAAAAACTAAACAAGGATATACCAAATGAAGCACTAAAAGGGTCAGAAATTACTGAGTCTTCCAGTTTTCTGCAAAACAGACCGTCTGTTCATCATAGTAACACTGCAATAATTAAAATACCAGCACTGCAACCATTAGCAAGGATCCTTGGTGTGCCTGAACTGCACTGTGCATCTCAGGGCTCTGCCAGCGCTGGTGGAACCGACCTGCTCACACCAAGACAATTCCTCATCTCAGCCACAGCACTATCTGCAGGCAAGCACTGCCTGCAGCAAGGCAAATTTCTGTAAAGCTGATCAATCCCATGGCTTTGTATCCTGGAATTGGAAGTCTGCAGCTTATTTGAGACGGACGCAGCAAAAGGTATTGGAGTCCATCTGCTTAACCCGAACTTACTGACAGCTGTTCAGAGCAGTAAAGTTTGCAGTCCTGTATCAGCAGTACATTGTACACTAAACTTGTAACTTGTATCAGTCCACAAACCACCCATCTGCCAGCTGCACAATAAATCCCTTCCTTGCTCTCCTCCTGGGAGCGCTCACACGTGCTGTGTGAGGCACTGAACCTTACCTGTCCTCGGAATTGTTGGGAGACGGGAGACGGAAACTTATGTTCCTGTCCAACTTGGACTGGCTCTTTGTCCTCTTGATGGATCCTTTCAGGCGTTTACTGAAGAAGCCCTAAAATGAGAAGTTGCAGAAGTGAGGCAGGGAAACTGATGCCGGTAATAAATCAATCTCTGCACTGCCTCCGAGCCCAAAGGCAGCGGCGATTCCCGGTGAGGCCCATTACAGAACAGCCTGCTCTGGGATTCCTCTGAGCAGCAAGAAAGGCAGAGCAGGATTGTCAGCGACAGTTCCAGGATGTGAGAGCTTCCAATTGCAATAATTAGCACTGCTCACATTACGAGGGCACTTCAATGAATTCCGGCTATTATACAAGAGAAACCCCACGATTATAACTCAATAAGGAGTATTCTTCATTATATTTGTTCCTGCTTCCCCTTTACATGCCATGTTTTTAATTCCTGGTGAGCTTAAGAGTACAGATGTCTTTTACTATGAGCTTCTACTGTGCCCGCAACTGCACTTAGGTTTTCCTTTTTAATTTAGACATAGCACGTTAAATCTTACAGTAATTTGAAATTTCAATAGTCTCACTTGCCAGAATTGAAAATTTCAAGATTTCACACACCAGTGACTTCAGATATCAATTATGATATTGGTATCAAGGAAAGCTCAATTCAGAAATCTACTTAGGATCTAAAAATAAACTAAATCTTCAAGAAATCTGTCTTCAAAATACAGCTGTTCACCGAACAATTGCAGCCCAAAGCCATGTCAGTTGGAGGGAGCCTCTGGGGATCATCTCCTGCTCATTGGGGGTGTACTGGCAACACTAGGTCAGACTAACTCTGACTTGGTCTAGCTAAGTCTGGAAAACCTCTGGAGATGAAGGGAACAAAGGAAGGGCAGTCTGCTTTCTGCATCTGAAGGCAGGGCTGCATTTAAGGCTGCCCTTCAACCTCTGGGGCTTGCCAGCCAGCAGGTTCCTCAGGGGTGAAAGCTGCTATCTTCTCCTGATACAGTGGAAAAGAAAAGGCCTCGTGTCTAAATATGGGAAAAAACCCCCAGAACCCACCCCCCAAATGTACACAGCATGCTGGGGGAAAAGGTACTGTCAAAAGGGATGAAGCATTTTCAGCGGTGTGTGGCACTCAAACTCTGCCCATGATCTTGCACTTTCCTTAGTCCTGGTATTGAAAAAGTGCCTTTGAAAAACCCCTGTAATCAATAGATGCTTTTGGGCTTCTCTTGGGGCCACTGCTGGAATTCAAGTAGAGGATGCACAGCGCTTTCAAAGGCACTTTCATATATTCTGACCTCTCAGCATAAAAGGTAACAAACCCAGCCACAGGGCTTCAGACCTGGTGGACCCTGGCTTCAGTCCAGCACCTCTCAAATTGCAAACATGAAATAATATGTTTTTCTCCCCCTAAGGGCAAATAAGACAAAGCTGACACAATTCAGCAGGGGTCCAAAAGTATTTATATCAAATCATTCCAAATCCCACTCAGAGAAGGACGGTGAATATTCATTTTTGTGTGCATGTACAATTTTAAATTGGCACTGCTTTAGCATTACTGAAACATGTTCCGGGTTTAATTGAACATAATCTACTCCCCAGTGGAACAAACATGCTGTCTGGCGTTGAACAGGGCTATCCAGAGCTGACAGTACAAAAAAAAAAAAATAGGGTACGAACATATTTAAAGATAAAAGTTATTCAAACAAAGGGTGTTCTTACTGGTCATCCCTCAAAGGTTTGAAAATATTTGCAATATTTGCTCTGTGCACCTCGCTGGCAGCTCATGCAGGGCCAGTGCTTACAGATGGACAACCTGGGAGCAGCATGAAAAATTCACATGTGCCAGAACTGAGCAGAGTTTTTCCGACTTCCATTTGCCGAAGGAAATGCTTTTAAATACTGAATGCAGATATAAAAAAGGATGCAGTGATGAAAAATAAACTCCTATCTGCAACAATACCAACTAACTGGAAGTTTTATTTCCTCATGCTACTGTAGAGAAGAAATCCCTGCCAAGGGTTATAATGCAGCTTGTATCATTAAAAAGACAAAACCACCATTATTGCTTTTCTTTAAATACTTATTTCAACACAAAACAGAGTCCTGTGCGGTTCTTATACCTAAACGGAATGAAGTCTCTCAGCTTTAAGAATCATCATGGAATTTCTTTAAAAACAGTGGGAATTTTACTGCTTAAGCAAACGCTCTCAGACAAAAATAGGTAATTTTATTACTCAAACTGCCAGAAATGATGAGACGATGTTCTCAGTAAAAAAAGTACAAAATATTTGGTTGGATAAATCAACTAGGATGCAATTTGAAGAGAGCAGTACCATGTAAACACAGCGTTTCAAGAAGAGACCAGTGAGAGAATAACTGTACAAGAACTGTGCCTTAATCCCCCGAGAGACAGATTTGAGGGTCACGCGTAGTGGGATGAAGTTCCATACAAATTCCCCTCAGAACCACAGGAGGTTTAGGGGAACAGGGATGGAAAAGAGAGACGAGGAGAGCAAGCAGTGGAACACAAGTACACACAATCTGTGGAACAGGCTCAGGGCAGGTTCGTCATCTCGCCCAAAAGCATCAAGCACTGGGGTGAGAAATCCCAATGATACAACATCTAAAAATAATTCAATCCCACTGAGAATTCTATTTGGAAGTTAAGCAACTTGACTGTCACTCTGCCAAGAATCTCCACAGGAGATGGGATAATCCACCAGGCTGTTGGAACTTCCCTCCATAGCTGCACGGGGAAAGCACAGAAACTCTGACCCCCAAGTATTTGCAACCCAGGGGAGGTGGCTGTTGAGGGCAGCTTTGGCTTTAGGAAATGCTCACTCCAAAGATGCCTGACAAACAATTGTCTGTTTGTCCTTAACCTCAGAACTGTCCAACAAATTCAGACACAGCCCCAGCAGGAGCTACTCAACTCCTTGGCTGCTGCTCCCCACAGACACAACGATTCCTCACTCTGGGGAGAACAGCCCATGCATAATAAATAATGATTGTCTTGGTGGTTTTGAAAGGGAAAGGTTAATTCAGCCACGAACAAATAAAACTGTATGGAACCATAACACAAATTATACATCGACACAGCGCACTGGCATTAGTGGAAGTTTCAAAGCACTAAAACCAGGGTAAAATGGGTGATAAAAAGGTTTGTCTCAGACTCAGTGCTGTTACCTACGTTGGCTCTTTCTGAGGACAAACACGTTGCCTTTGGGAGCCCTGCAACGCATCTTGAACATCTTTAATTCTCGATGAGGAGCACCAATGCATTATTAATAACACCAGGTGGGTAACTTCATTTACAGAGCGATGAGACTTATTCTCTCTGAGGGGAAGGGCTGGATGGGTACAAAGACAACCCTCAAGTGACTATAGATGACAGCAGAACTGCCTCCCCGCTGCTGTGTGTGGTGAGGACATGAAGCATTTTATTTCTCAAGTTGCTCACGAGCAGCTATCAAGAAAAAAAAAAATAATGTCATAGCCAAGTGAAAATGCTCTCCTGTGCCAGCAACATTGTAAAGCTATGGGAGGCAAAGAAGCAGGGGAAGATAGCCAGGTTGCAAAATGGAAAGATAAAACTGGGAGGATATTCTAGGAATGAGCAGCAAACATGGAGAAGTTAACAATTCCCTACAAAACAACACCACAAGGCCAATCTAACTTAGCAAGGAGGTGGAGAAGTTTGCTTACGAGCCCAATAACACTCAGTATTAAAATATTAGCAGCAAGTGCCTTCAAAAAGTCTCTCAGCCACTCATACAGTAGAAAAGCAGAGGAAAACAACTCTAGGTACACCTTGGAGGCAATATACAGAACAAGGCAGTGACTTACACAGTCACATTCCACCATCAACCCACCCAAAAAACCTGGCACTATGTCACTGAAGAGGTGGTTTGTGCCCAGGCAGAAAACAATAAAAAACATGTTTGAATGTACAAACAAAGGATAAAGCCCGATAAAAGTAAAGTGCTGTTATGTAAATCTGCCATAGCTCTCACACTAATGCATCACTCTCCTGATTTTCTCATCTCAGCAAGAAAACTAGAACAAAACAGAACTCCAGAAGTATAAACTGATTAAAGGCAGACAAGAGGGGGATTTACAAATGATATGTTTTAAAGACCAACTATTTATTTTAGGAACAAAAGCAAGAAGGGATTAGGGATGTATAAAACAAATAGAATGGAAATTACCAAAGCTCCTCATGCACCCTGTTACATCAGAAAACCAAGGGGCAATTTCACATGAGAGGCAGCCACGTTTCACTGATTGTCAGGAAACCTTTCCTAATGCTGTCTGTCTATAAATGAGCCCATCCAATTCTCCACCACAAGATATTATACAGACAAATTTTTTTCATCAAGATTAAAAAAGGATTATGTGTTTATATAAGGAAGAATAACATATGTAGCTGCATTAGTCAGGTTTAAAAATAACAAGAGTGAGCAATAATCATGCTTCAGGACACAAGCTGATCAACAGCAAGGATCAGGAAAGATATTTTTCCCCTGATGGGACAGCACTGCAGATTTGGCCGGATAACAATTTCAACTTTCCAATGAAAAACGGTCTGCAGCCACAGGAGGGATGCAGGATAGGATGAACAAGTTTAGGAACAGTAATAAGAAACCCAAGGAAATGCAGAGGATACTGTAACAGGGATACGTTGATAATACACCTGTTAATAAAATGCATTATAAGATTGCTTGCATTCTGCGTGATATGCAGTCAAAAGTACTAAAGGAATCACATTTCCAAGTCACTGGCAATTCAATTGGAAAATTCATGAAGAAGCAAGAACTACCTGATAGCCAGGGAGGGCCACATCAGCTTTTCAGATCCCAGTTCAGCAAGGTGTTCAGCATGGACACAACTGGGAGCAGAGCCTGGCTGCCCTTGTGGGACCTGCCCACAACAGGGCACAGCAGAAGGAAAGAGCATCCTTAAAAGCCCCTATCCAGGAATTAAGGAGTATGGGTCAGAAGTCTGGCTGAAGAACAACTAAGGAACGGTGATAGACAACATATATGATAAGAAGCAGGTCACCTGAGCCTGTCAGGAAGGGCAGGCAATGATT